TCAATAATCCTTCGTCTGTGTAATATTTTGTGTGAATATTTGATAATCTGTGTGATTCTGACTTTGTTCGAAGGATTTTGGTAGATTCCTTAGTGGATCTTGAGAGACATCACTGTAATTTTGAGAGATAAGTTCTTATTCTTCATCTCTCTGAACTTTTGTAATTCTTGTTGTCATTTTTGGATGTTCTTAGTGCAACCGAGCATAATCATTTTATTGTATGCTCAACAGTAGATGTAGGTGTTAGAAGTGGTCACCGAACCTTCGGGGTTATGGCCGAAATGATTCTTTGGTGTCCAATTTTAATTTTCTACAGTTTATTTTGCTTGGTCGAGTTATTTTCGTTCCTTGACACTTATATCGTGTGATCCTGGCTTTTCAGATCAGCACTAGACTGAGGAACAAGATACCCTGATCTTTGTGGAAAGAGGCAGATCTTGAAGTTCTTCAGATTATTTTTGAGCAAAATTACAAATTCGAGTTTATGTAAACTCGCTTTGTGAGATCTTCAACTTTTGAGAAATTTACTATTTAAAAGTTAGGGTTTTTTTACTTTTTCCTTGATTCACCGTACACCATTAAAACCCCTTGAGACTAGTCTTTATCTCAAGGCTCCTACAAGGCCTCTGGAATCTAAGATAAATCAAGTACGGGTGTGTACTTAGAGAATCTTGCTGGAGAAATCAATGAAACATAGTTAATTGATCTGTATTGTTTTCTTTAAGTAATTTTGCTCGTACACTTCATAAATTGCTTGAACTAAGTAAATCTTGTATTACCGTGTGTATTACTATGATTTTATTTGTGTCACCAACTTGAATACTTGTTTTGTACCTATACTGTGTTGGTATTTGTACATCATTTGCTTGCTAATATGGCTACTGCTAAATTTGAAGTGGGTTAATTTGATGGTAAAATTGATTTCAATATGTGGAGCTAAAAAAATGTGTCATTTTATTGTGAATGAGATGTGTGAAAACTCTGGATGATACTTGGCCTACTGATTTTCCCCCTGTTGCAAAAGTTGAACTTGAAGAAGTTGCTAGGAGTACCATATTTTTATACTTAATTGAAAATGTGACTAGAGAAATTGGAGAAACTTAAACTATTGTAGATCTTTAGGCCAAATATGGGACTAAGACTACTCCAAATAAATGTTTTCTTTTAAAACAATTCTTCTCTTTTAAAATGAACCCTTCTGTTGACCTGAATGAGAATTTGAACAGATTTACTTAACTTACCCAAGACTTGGCCAACTGTGATGAAAAGCTTTCAAAAGATCAGTTGACTGTAGTCTTGTTAAATTCCATAAGTGACAGATATAAGGACATTAAGGTTGTCCTAAAATATGGGAGAGATGACCTCAGCAGTAACATTATAATAAATGCCTTAAGAAATAAGGCACAAGAGATTAAGGCTGAGTCAAGTAACAGTCACACAGGGGTAAACTTGCTGTCTAAGGGTAAAACTTAGAGTAATGTTCAGACCTACTATGATAAAACCAAGAGTGAAAATGGTCTAGTTTTAGTTAGTGATGAAAAGAAGTTAAGTGATGAATGGATACTTGACTCAAGGTGTTCTTTTCATATGTGTCCAAATAAAACTATTTTATTGATTTTGAAAAAATCAGGCAGGTTATAATAGGCAATAACTTTGCTGCAAAGTCAGTGGCATAGGGACTGTTAAACTATTATCGGATAATGGAAATATTTTGTTTCTAAATGAAACTAGATATGTCCCAGATTTGAAAAGGAACTTAATGTCCTTAGACATGTTAGATGATATGGAATTTAACATAAATATGGGGAAAGGACATATTAAATTCTTAGGGGAGATAAAGTGATTATTTCTGGCCCAAAGAGAACATGGGTTGTATTCCTTGAATGCTAAACCTTTGTTGGGTCTAACTGCTTATGCTGTATCTGAAAATTTTGCTTTGGCAAAGTTATGGTATGAAATACTTGTCACATTGGTAAAAAGAGTTTAAATTCCTTGCAATCTAAAGGAGTGTTTGGAAAAATAAATCTTAATGATTTTGGTTCTTGTGAACAATGTATTATAGAAAAACAAGTTAAACTTCATTTTCCAACTAGAATCCACAAATCTAAACAAAAACTTGAATATTTGCATGCTGATTTGTGGGCCCTGCTACTATGTCTATCCTATCTGATTTTAGATACTTTCTGTTGATAATTGATGATTTTTCAAGAAAATTTTGGATATTTTTGTTGAAGTCTAAAGATGAGATATTCTCTATTTTTAAGGATTGGAAAATTCAAGCTGAAAATCAAATTGATCTTAAAATAAAAGTGCTAAGAACTTATATGGCCTGGAATTTTACAATCAAGAATTTAATAATTTCTGTAAAGAGCATGGCATTTTGAGACATAGAACAGTTACAGATACACACACACCACTACAGCATGGAATAGCTGAAAGAATGAACAAGACCTTGTTAAATATGGTAAGACGTATGCTGTTGAATTCTGGTTTACCTAAAATGTTTTGAGGTGAGGCAGTTAAGACTGCAGGTTATTTGATTAACATGAGTCCTAAAAGTGCTTTGAATTTTGCTATTCCTAAAATTGTGTGGTCTAATAATTCTGTGAATTATTCTTATTTGAAAGTCTTTGGTTATGCTGCTTATGCTCATTAAAATATTGGAAAGTTAGAACCCAGATCTCTTAAATGTGTTTTCTTAGGATATGATGAACATGTTAAAGGGTACAGACTGTGGGTTAACTCTGAAAGGGGATACAGGGTCATAATTAGGAAAGATCTTATTTTCAATTAATCCTTAATGCCTAGCCTTGAAGGAAAAGAGAATGTTTTAACTAAAAATGATGATCAAATTGAGGTGGAGTCCTCTAGTAATAACAAGAATAGTTCTGAGCTTACTGCTGGGAATTTTCAACATAAAGAAATTATTATTTTGCATGAAACTGAAACTGAAACTGAACAGGAATATGATCATGTTGAACTTTCTGATCATGCAATTCTTCCCCTTGATGAGTACCAACTCACAAGAGATAGGGAGAGAAGACAAATCAGTCCACCTTCTAGATTTGACAGTGATAACTTTGTTTCCTTATTTACTTATCAAGAAATTTCTGAAAGTGAACCTGACTCCTTTGATAATGCCATAAATTGTAAAGATAGGGAAAATTGGAAAGTTGCCATGCAAGAAGAAATGGCCTCACTTCTTAGAAAAAAAAACTTGAGAACTTGTAGAGAAACCTAAAGGGCAGAAACTTATATATTTTAAGTAGATCTATAAAATAAAATAGGGAGAAGGTAATAGTAATAATATAAGATATAAGGCTAAGCTTGTTGCAAAAGGCTTCACTCAGAAAGAAGGGATTGATTGTAATGAAATTTTTTCCCCTATTGTGAAATATACCTCCATTAGATGTTTACAGGCCATTGTTGCTCAATTTAAATGGGAGCTCGATTGTTTAGATGTTAAAACTGCATTTTTGTATGGTGAAATTGATGGAGTAATCTACATGAAAAAGCATTTTGGCTTTAAAAAGGGTAATCCTGATAAAATTGTGTGTTTATTAAAAAACTATTTGTATGGCCTAAAGCAAGCCCCTAGATAATGGTACAAAAGGTTTGATGCTTTTGTTTTGAAATTAGGCAAATTAGGCGCTTTTGTTTTGAAATTAGGCTTCAAAAGAAGTCAATATGATACCTTTCTAAATTGTAAAGGAAATGGAGGTAAAAATGCTGTATATTTGGTGCTTTATGTAGATGATATGTTGCTTGCTAGTTCAAATAAAATTGAAATTGATAATATCAAGAAAATGTTGAAATCTGAGTTTGAAATGAAAGATTTAGGGCCCGCTAAAAGGAATTTGGGCATGCATATTGTTTGAGATAATGCCAATGAAGAGAATAATGTGGTGGTTAGATGAAGAGTGGATGCTTGTTTGATTGATTGTGCTCGTGTGAAGGTGGATTGGGGGGAAAATGGGAGTGTTCGTGTGAAATGTGAAGTGGGGGAAGATATGGGGTGGGTTTTGCAAGTGACGGGTTTAAAACTCGTCACATATACACCATGCAGCCGCATGTTGTAGTTGAGGCCCCCTTTTGTTGTTTCGGTAGGGGTCCATGCGACCGCATGGACCCCTTGTCCATGCGGCCTCATGGACAAAGCAAACTTTTTTTTTTTAATATAACTAAGGCAAACTTACAATTATAACCCCAAACACAACTTGAAATTTAAAAATCCCCCGAAATTGATTTTCAATTTCAAAATTGACTCGACTCGCCATATTCCGAAAAATAAAAAAAAAATTAACTTGAAAGGGAATATGCTTATCGAAAACTTGGCACCAAAACCAATTCTTTACAAAAAATTTTGAAAAGCATCTCGAAAAATAAAATAAAACGAACGACTTTGAACCTCGAAATGCATTACTTCACACTCAAACGCCCAAAACACTTTATTTAGCCCCGACTCATGCAACTATAAGTGTGTAGTGCCTAGACTATCATGCGTGAATGATCGATGACCTAGTAAAACATACGAAATTTAAACAAATTTCTAAACTAATGCAATAAGATAAATTGAAGGATACAGTGGGTTGCCTCCCACCCAGCGCTAGTTTATAGCCGATAGCTCGACTTTCCTGTGTCTTCTTCACGTAGGGTTGCTGAATTGCATAGTGGACTTCTGCTTAGGGAAGTTACAGCCCCATTAATGTTTTAGTCTTTGCCCATTAATGATGAATGTGCCTTTGGTCTCGTGACTCACTTCAATAGCCCCATATTACATCACCTTAGTTATGGTATAGGGACCCGACCACCTTGTTCTTAGCTTTCCTGGGAAGAGTTTGAGTCTAGAATTGTACAATAACACTTTCTGGCCAACTTCAAACTCTCGCCTCTGAATGTTTAAATCATGTCATCTCTTGGTGCGTTCCTTGATCAACTTTGAGTTCTCGTAAGCTTCCATTCTCAATTCATCCAATTCATTAAGTTGCAGCAGTCGTTTTTCACCAGTAGCCTTGAGATCCATATTCAACTGTTTCATAACCCAATATGCTCAGTGCTCCAACTCCAATGGTAGATGACACGCTTTCCCAAAAACTAGGCCGTATGGAGACATTCATATTGGTGTCTTAAACGCTGTTCTGTAAGCCCACAGTGCATCGTCCAACTTCTTAGACCAATCTTTTCGGGATGAGTTCACTGTAACTTCCAGTATTATCTTTAACTGCCTGTTCGAAACTTCAACTTACCCATTGGTTTGTGGATGATATGGAGTTGCTACTTTATGTTTCACCCCATATTTTTTCAACGGCTGCTCTAGTTGACGATTTATGAAGTGTTTGCATCCATCACTTATTATCGCCCTCGGTGTACCATATCTTGTAAATATGTACTTCTTCAAGAACTCTATTACCACTTTTGTGTCGTTGGTAGGTAATGCAACAGCTTCCACCCACTTAGAGACATAGTCAACGGCCACCAAGATATATTGATTTGAGTACGATGGGGAAAAAGGTCCCATGAAGTCTATTCCCCATACATCAAATATTTCAACCTCCAAGATGTAGTTTAGTGGCATCTCATTTCTTCTTGAGATATTTTCGATTCGTTGGCATCTATCGCATCTCTTCACATACTCGAATGTGTCTCTGAATAAAGTAGGCAGTAGAAACCCGACTGTAGGATCTTTGCAGCAGTCTTTGAAGCTCCAAAATACCCAGCATATGCAGAAGAGTGACAATGCTCTAGAATCTCCAGTACTTCATCTTCAGGAATGCATCTTCTGACTATCTGATCTGCTCCTCTTCTGTAGAGAATGGGATCCTCCCAAAAGTAATACTTCAGCTCTGCGGAGAACTTCTTTCTTTGATGGCTAGAATACTCGGGTGGAGGAATGGACTTAGCAAGGTAGTTAAAAATATCGACGTACCATGGGACTTTTTCTACTCCAAAAATTTGCTCATCTGGAAAGATTTCATTGATGTCAACTGATATCTCAGGTTCATCCCGTTCCAATCTTGATAGGTGATCAGCTACCACATTTTCACTGCCCTTCTTATCCTTGATCTCAATATCGAACTCTTGCAACAACAATATCCAGCGGATCAATCTCGACTTTTCTTTGTCATAAGGTACTTCATAGCGGTATGATCTATGTAGATGATGACCTTAGGCCCAACAAGATACGATCTAAACTTGTCGAATGCATAAACCACAGCTAACAATTCCTTCTCGATTGTCGCATAGTTGATTTGGCCGTCGTTCAAAGTTCTACTTGCATAGTATATCACATGAAAGATTTTATTCTTTCTTTGTCCCAATACCGCACCAACTGCATGATCACTCGCATCGCACATTAGCTCAAAGGGCAAATCCTAATCAGGTGACACAATCACAGGCGCTGTTGTTAGTTTTTGCTTCAAAGTATTGAACGCTATCAAACATTCCTCATTAAACTCAAAAGATACCTCTTTCATTAGCAAGTTGCATAGAGGCTTGGTAATTTTGGAGAAGTCCTTTATAAACCTCCTGTAAAACCTTACATGCCCAAGGAAACTTCGAACTCCATATACTAATGTAGGTGGTGGTAGTTTCTCAATAACCTGAATTTTTGCCTTATCCATCTCTATCCCCTTTGCCAATACTCTATGTCCAAAGACTATTCCCTCTTGAACCATGAAATGACATTTCTCCCAATTCAATACTAAGTTCGTTTCTCTGCATCTTTGCAAAACCAAGTTTAAGTGTTCCAAACACTCATCAAATGAGGTCCCAAAGACCGAGAAGTCATCCATAAAGATTTCAATGAATTTCTCCACCATATCTGAGAAAATTGCTATCATGCATCGCTGAAATGTGGCAAGAGCATTATAAAGTCCAAATGGCATTCTTTGGTATGCAAAGGTACCATAAAGGCATGTGAAGGTGGTCTTCTCCTGATCATCCAGTGCCACTGGTATCTGATTATAACCCAAATACCCATCCAGAATACAGTAGTTGGAATGGCCTGCCAATCTCTCCAACATGTGATCTATAAACGGAAGAGGGAAGTGATCTTTCCTTGTAGCGGTATTTAGTTTGTGGTAATCAATGCAAACTCTCCACCCTGTTACCGTCCTTGTCTGGATCAACTCATTCTTTTCATTTTGAACCACTGTAATTCCTCCTTTCTTGGGCACAACTTGCACTGGACTAGTCCATTTACTATCTGACATCGGGTAGATTATTCCAGCATCCAGAAGTTTGATCACCTCAGCTCTTACCACCTCCTTCATGTTTGGGTTTAGCCTCCTTTGACTTTCAACTGTTGGTCGAAAATTCTCCTCCATGAGAATTTTATGCATATATAAGAAAGGGCTGATCCCTTTGATATCTGCTATGGTCCACCCAATTGCTTGCTTGTTATCTCTAAGCACCCTAAGTAGTTTTTCCTCCTCCACTTCACTAACCATGTTTGAAATTATCACTGGAAGTGTATTAGACTCCCCCAAATATGCATATCTTAGGTGTGGGGGCAGCTGCTTAAGTTCCAACTTTGGTGGCTTCATAATAGATGGCTATGATTTATCAGGCCCTATCCCAAGCTCCTCAAAGTATCGTTTCCGTGTGTAAGGTGGGTTGGACTCCAAAAATCTTGCACACATTTCTATGTCCACAGAATCAGATTTTGTGGATTGAGAATGTGCAATGTAGGCCTCCAATGCATCTGATGGATTTTGCAGTGTAAACGGCTTTTCAATCATTTTATCGATCATGTCAACCCTGAAACAGCTGTCAGTCTCTATTGGTAGTTTCATAGCCTTGAAGACATTGAATGAAACATGTTCTCCTCCCAATCTCAGTATCAACTGCCCATTCTGAACATCGATCAAAGCTCTGCCTGTGGCCAAGAATGGTCTGCCCAGTATTAAAGGAACATCTTTATCTCCTTCCATATCTAGAATAAGAAAATCTGCTGGGAATATAAACTTCTCCACTTTAACTAATACGTCTTCAATTATTCTTCGTGGATGTGTCAATGATCTGTCAGCCAGCTGTAAGGTCACCGTGGTAGCTTTAGCTTCTCCCAATCCCAATTTCCTGAAAACTGACAATGACATTAAGTTAATACTTGCACCAAGATCACATAAAGCTTTATCAAAATAAACTTCACCAATGGTACAAGGGACAGTGAAACTCCCTGGATCTTTCAATTCTGGCGGGAGCTTTCTCCGAATCCTGGCACTGCACTCCTCTGTTAGCATAACTGTCTCGTGATCTCCTAGCTTCCTTTTGTTTGATAGGATGTCCTTCAGGAATTTTGCATAGCTAGGCATCTGAACCAGTGCTTCAGCGAATGGGATGTTGATATGGAGCTTCTTAAAGACTTCGAGAAACTTCTTGTATTGCTGCTCCATCTTTTGCTTCTTCAGCCTCTGTGGAAACGGTATGGGTGGCTCATATGGGTTCACAATTGCAGTCTCTTTATCCCTTGAGTTTTCTTTATTTGCACTCGGTGTTGGCTCTTTTGTCTGCTCTTCTTGCTCTAAAGTCTCTTCTACTTCAGGAGACATCTCTTCTCTGTTTGCCTCGGGGTCATTCACTTGTCTCTCAGGTAATTGCACTCCATTTCTCGTTGTTATAGCCTGTGCATGCTCTTTTGGATTGACTTCTGTGTTACTTGGCAAGCTACTTGGTGCTCTACCTGTTAATGTAATTGCCATCTATCCCATTTGAGTTTTCAAATTCTTGATGGCTGCATTCTAGTCCTGAAGAGTGGCTTCTGTCTTCTTCATGAATTGGTTGTTCGCCTCCATATATTGGTTGGTCTGTTCCATGAATTTGCCAAACATTTCTTCCAATTGAGGCTTCTTCTCTTATTGTTGATATTGCTCCTGTGGCCTATTCTGATTTTGGTTGCTCCAAGAAAAGTTGGGTGCTTTTTCCAGCTTGGGTTGTAGGTCTCTCTGTATGTGTTATTCTGCTGGCGTTGTCCCCATTGAGCAAAATCTGCTTGCTCTTTTTCTTGTGCCAAAATTGGACATTTCGCTATCACATGCTCAGCTCCACATTCCTCACAAGTTGCCTTCTTTGTCTGAGCTGCGTTAGCTGACTGAGTCATGTTTTCCACCTTGTGAAATAAGGAATCAATTTTAGCGGATAACGCTGAATATACATCCACTTCATAAACTCCTGGTGTCTTCTTTGGTACTGCTCGTTCCATGGTCCACATTGCTGAGGTCGTAGCCATTGTCTCATATAACTTCAATGCTTCGTCAATTGTTTTCGTGGACAATGACCCATTAGCCGAAGAGTCGACCATGCTCTTGAAAGCTGGAAGTAGCCCCGCATAGAAATATTGGACCTGAAGTCCCTTGCTAATCCCGTGGTGTGGACACTTCCTTAGTAGATTTTTGAATCTGTTCCAAGCCTCATCGAAATTCTTAGATTCACCTTGCTTGAAGATAGATATGTCGTGCTTTAGCTTTGCTATCTTGGCCGGTGGGAAGAACTTAGTACAGAACTTTTGAGCTAAGTCATTCCAGGTAGTAATGCTGACTATCTGCTGAGAATCAAGTCATTCAATCACTTTGTCCCGCAAAATATGTGGAAACAGTCTTAATCTTATGGCGTCGTCAAAGACTCCTTGATATTTGAAGTGCTGGCACATCTCTAAGAAACGTGAGATATGCGTGTGCGGATTCTCTTCAATTCTTTCATAAAACTGATGTCCGTTCTGGAATAGTTGTATCACATTTGTCTTCAACTGGAAACTTGGCTGCCCGACCAGTGTATATACAATGCTGGACTGGCTTTGAATGATTTAAGGGGTCATGAACTCTCCAACGAGCATGTTTCCTTCATCTTCTTCCCCTCTTTCATTGGCTTGTACAACATGATTGTGTTGTACATTTTCCATCTGATTTCTCGCTGCTCTATTTTCTCTCTGCCTTCTTCTTAAACTTCGTTCGATCTCTGGATCGGCTGAGAGTAGATCTCCTTCAACAGATCTTGGCATGCACTTCTGCAAGAGAATCCAATTTAAACACTTAAATAACTAAAATAAGCACTTAAGTAATAAAACTAAATAAGCAATAAAATAAAATGAACTAAAATAAAATTAACAATAAAAAGTTCGAATTAGTGCTACATTGAATAAAATTAAATGAATACTCAATCCCCGGCAACGGCGCCAAAAACTTGTTCATGAAATAATTCTTTCGATTTAAAACTACCGCAAGTGTACGGATCGTGACAAGTAATAAAGTGGATTTTTTAAAAGTACGAATATCGTCCCACAGAGATTGAATAGTTCAATTCTATATAATCTAGCCTTAACCGAGTCTAACTGAGTGAAAATATGGTCCAAATGTAAAATGCCCTAATTTCAATTAAAAACCCTAATTTCTCAATTAGGAACCCTAATCTCAAAATTTCTCTAATTAAACAACTCAAACACTCAAGTAAATGAAATTATGCAAATTCAAAAGCTAATTTATGGAAATGAATCAAAATAAAGTCACTAGGATCACGAATCCCCAATTGAAACTATAAAAAACCCTAATGTCATAAAATCAATGACCTGATGGAAGTTTGCCAATTCAACGTTCCTAAATCTATCCAACATATTCTCTCGATATATATTAGACCTATTCTTGCACAGCACCAGCCTATATCTCTATGGATGATGCAAATATACAAGAATGCATGTGGTTTTGTGAACAATTAGAGAATTGCATAAAGCATAGGGATATATCTCTATCCCCTATCGGACCCTATGTTGATTTACACCTTATCGAACCTATTCCACTTCTCTCGAATGTAAGAAATAAGTCATAAACACTCACACAATCATTGGCCACTAATTGCGAAAGAAAATCAATGCATATAAACAAATCAAATTGCCCAAACGAGTTTTTATATTAAAATCATGAAATATGGAATTAAAATAACAAAAAATGGTTCATCGATCACCTAGTGAATTGAAAACCGAGCTAAGAATATTCATAATTATATAATAAAAACCGAAATTAATAAATTGAAAGAATAGCACCCGTATGAAAATTTCTTGAAATCTTGAATAAAGTCTTGAAAATCCGCTTGAATTCTTGTGGAATCGGCTTCAAGATCGCATTTCTTGCCTCCAAAAGTTGTAATTTTCTTCTTCTTGAACGTTCTCTCCTATTTCTGATGTATTTTGACTTTTATATCATGTCCTTACGGAATCCCGAAAGAGTTTCAATAAAAAACGCAAGTTAAGAATTTTTTTTATTTTTTATAGCCATGCGGCCGCATGGTGTTAAACCATGCGACTGCATGGTTCAAGTGAAATGGCCCTTGGAATCCCTGCAACCTTCTGTGCGGCCGCATGACACAGTTCTGTGCGGCCGCAAGGTTATAACTTTCAACTTTTCTGTTTTGGTCCCTGAACTTCGTTTTCTCTTTTCTTTCTTTCCTCTATTCCATCATAAAATATTGACTCCTAATTAACGTTTGGGTCAATCAATTCCTTGATCACTTGCTCGGCTCATCTTTTGATTAATTGCAATTTAGTCCTTCATATTTCACTTTTCTTCAATTCAGTCTAATATTATTTCTTTCTTCCTCCGATCCTCTTGTATCGTCCTCAAGCTCATACTTGGCATATTTTCATTCTCGTTCTGCACTTTAGCTCAACTTTCCAATATTTGCATCTTTGGTCCCCAAACTATCACTTTGTTTCGTTTTGGTCCTTTTTCGGCTCTTTTCTTCTGAATTTCATTTTTTCTATAGAAACACCTACATTGCATGAATTTAACGAGATTAAGTCACAATTCAACTACTTTGTCCATATTTAAGTCATGTTTGTGAGCTAAATAAGTGTGTAAAAACACACTTATCACTGGTAACGATTCACTTTTTAGGGCTTTGTCTCTTAGATTCTGTCATTTGAATGATTCATTCACTAGCTCTAGGGTTTGAGAAAAATTGAGATGATTCTTCATTCATGTTTTTCTACTTAAAATTAGAGATTTTAAGTTGAGAGTGATTCAATAATCCATCGTATGTGTAATATTCTATGAGAATATTTGAGAATCTGTGTGATTCTAGGTATTGTTGGTTCCTAACTTTGTTCGAAGGGTTTTGGTAGATTCCTTAGTGGATCTTTAGAGTTATCACTGTAATTTTGAGAGATAAGTTTTTATTCTTCATCTCTGAACTTTTGTAATCTTTGTTGTCATTTTGGACTGTTCTTAGTGCAACCGAGCATAATCATTTAATTGGATGCTCAATGGAGGATGTAGATGTTAAAAGCGGCCACCGAATCTCCGGGTCTACGGTCGAAATAATTCTTTGGTGTTCAACTTTAATTTTATGCAGTTTATTTTGCTTGGTCTAGTTATTTTTGTTCATTGACACTTATATCGTGTGATCCTGGCTTTTCAAATGTGTTGAAGCAACTATTTATGTTGAAGCAACTATTTATGAAATTGCAATATAATCTTTTCCATTTTCACTTCACGCTCTTCATGAATCAGATTATTTTATCGTGCATATTAGCTTTGTCTCTAATTGAATTTTACAAAAGTTAGGGCCACGTACATTAGTTAGTTTTGTCACATATTAAAATTTGGACAAGACAATTTCCGCAAGTAAAGCTAATAGTTTTTTGGAACTATTTAAGGATGACTGATTGATCAAGAAACTAAATTATTAACACGGGCTATCCACAAAGTGTAGATAATAATTCCAATTTAATGATGTTCAACTTTTCTAGTGTATATTCATTGTCTTATATGTTCAATGCATCTCTGTATATTTTAGATGAACATTAATTTTGAACATATTATGTGCATTCTTTCAAGTTATTATTTAAATTTAAACATATTTGATGTGATATGTGCTAGAAATTTTGTTATTGAATTTGTCTCTCGATCATATCGGAATTTTGACTTTGATTGTATCAAGTTGGTTATTATGATTTTGTCTCATAATTATTATTTTGAGATGGAATTTTTTTCCATGGACTTTAAGACTTTCATTGTTTTTCCATTAAGAAAAATAGTTTGAAATAAAAGTGGGTGGTCGTTGCCAAAGTGGCAAACTTATTGTTATTTATTCCTTTTTCATTCTGAAAAAAACAGTAGCATCGCATTTTTTTTTTAAATCATTGCACACAATATCTTGCCCGAATGTGTTATTTTATGTGATGATTTGTAAAGTGACATAGGTGAATTGCCTTCGTCTAGAAATCTTCTTCTGACTCAAGGTATTGGTGTTTTGAAAACCAATGTCATCTTGTTAATTAGCTTCATGATATGTTTTAATAGTACTTTACAGCATTTTGTACTATCAGCCCAAATATGACTTTATAATGTTGCATCTAAGCTCTTACTGTAATACAGTTCATATGTTTTTAACTTTAATTATGGACTATTTAATTAATAGCCCATGTTAATTATACGGATATGTTATCAACCGTTGACTGCATGCATTATGTTTAGATAATTTAAATATGTTATTTTATGTTTCCACAGTTTTAAATGCCTCATCTCTTTCAAGTCAATTGTCTGCTATTGAAACTTTGATCGGAAATAATATGAGAGATGGAAACAAGACTAGCATTTAATCTTTTGGGTTTGAATTTTGCAATGAAAAAGCAGCTTTCGAAACCCACAGATAAGAATATTCCTAAATATGTGTCTGAGTATGAAAAGTGGGAAATGGCTAACAGACTTTGTTTGAAAATTATTAAGCATTCTATATCCGATTCCATTATGGATGTGTATTCTAGGCAATGAAAATGCCAAAAATTTTGTGGATGCCATAGGAGAGAGATTTCTTGAGTCAGATAAAGTTGAAACTGGAAATTTGATGGACAAACTAATGAATATGAGATATGACAGTACAAGTGGAGTTAGAGAACACATTATGAAAATGATAAATGTATCCTCTAAGTTAAAAGCTCTTAAGATTCCCAATGCATAACCATTCCTAGCCAGTTTAATTAGTTTGAGGTTGTTTATACTGCTCAATAGGATAAATCGAATTTGAATTACCTTATTGCAGTATGTTCACAAGAGAAGTATAGGATGCAATGTAAGATTGTTAAAACTGTGTAATTAGCTTTCAGTCACCACAGAACAAGGGGTCTTCTCATAACTAGAAGTCTAAGTTTCATAAGGGTAATAGTTCACACCGCAATCAGCAGAATAAAAATATTGCAGGTCAGATTTTTTGTGGTCCCAAAGAAACTATAAAGAAAATTATCAATGCAAGTTCTGCAAAAAGAACGATCATTGGCAGAAAGATTATATTAAATTGAAGACTTGGCTAGAGAAGAAGAAAAATTCCCCGAGTATCTCATTGGCCTTAGTTTGTTTTGACTTTTCCTTTGAAGATGTGCTTTTGAATTCTTGATGGATAGGCTTGCGGAGTTAGTATTCATATTACGAATTCTTTGTAGAGGTTCAAAAGAAAACGGAGGCCAAGTGAAAATGAAGTGAGCTTGTGTGTTGGAAATGGAGTTCAAGTGAAGGTTGAGTTCATAGGAGTAGTGAAGTTGTCTTCGAAATCTGGTTTCTCCCTTATTTTAGAAAATACAGTTTTTGTACCAACAACGAGACGAAATTTAATTTCTATTTTGAAACTTGATGCTTTTGGGTTTTTTTCTTTAATTTTGGTAATGGAATGGATGAATTTTTTTATGATTCTCGTTTGATTGGAAATGGCCTTTTTATGTGATGGTTTATACAAATTATCTTTGGCTCCTTTTGGTGAAGTCTCTTGTATTACTAATGTGTCAAAGAAAAGGTCTCTAATCCATGAATCATCTTCTATATTGTGGCATAAGTCGTTGGGTCACACTTCAAGGAATAGGATGGAAATATTGGTAAAAGTTGAGATACTTCCCTCTCTAGACTTCTCCAATTTTGATAGTTGTGTGGATTGTATAAGAGGAAAGCTGACTAAATGCACAAGGAAATGTTCCACTAGGAACGATGGTAATTTGGGCTTGATACATAGCGATATTAGTGGATATTTACCTTCCACCATATGTGGGAACAAATACTTAATAACTTTCATTGATAATTTCTCGCGATATGGATATGTTTACCTAATTAATAATAAATTTCATGCACTTGAGAAATTCAAGATTTTCAAAATGGACGTAGAGAAATAATGTGGGAAAAGTATCAAAATTATAAGATATGGTGATGATGAGTACTATGAGAAGTACGACGAGTCTAGTCAAAACACGAGTGATCTTGCAAAGTTTTTGCAAAGGTGTGGCATAGTGTCTCAATGCGCCATGCAAGGAACACCCGAGCAGCATGGCGCTTCTGAAAGATTTAATCAAACTCTAAAGGATATGGCTAGGAGCATGATAAGTAGAACAAATTTATCGGAATATTTATGAGATGAAGTTTTGAAAACTACTATGTACATTTTGAATAGAGTTTCAAGTAAAGCCATTGCAAATACACATTTTGCATTATGGAAGACGTAAGCCAAGTTTGGCTTATTTCAGAGTCTAGGGATGTCCTGTTGAAATTAGGATTTATAGTCCTCTTGAAAAGAAATTAGATCCAAAATCCACTCTTGATTACTTTATTAGATACCGAGACAGATAAAACGATATAAGTTTTACTCTCTCAATCGTGGCACCAAAATTGTTCATTTCTTCAATATTGAATTCAATTTATCTATTTTCATCAAGAGATATATTATAGTTATGCTTAAATTTTAGGGTTTTGATTTGTTAGGGTAAATTTCAAATTCAAAGAAATGAGTGCCATTGTTAGTCGAGGTTCCTTAATTAGTTACTTTCCATTTACATTAAGGTAAGAAATACCATATTTGGGCAAACCCTAGAATTTTTAATTGGGTTCTTGAGTAAATATAGTTTAGAAAAATGATAGTGTTGATGAAATACTCACTTGAAAGAATGATTTTATAAAACAAGAAGTAAAATAAATTGGTGCATGTGTGATTTCAAGTTTCCACTAGATGGAAGATGGGAAAATTATTTTTAAGCTTGGGGTGAAGGTTATTTTGATGAATTAGCTATTAATAAAGAGATTAGAGAGTGGAATTAGCTTCAAGTGATTATAGGAGATTGAAGAAATTAAAACAATATTGATAAATTAAGTTTTAGTATTTGATTATTTATATTCAAAGCTAATTAGTATGATAGTGATTAAACTTATTATTTTACATCCATGTGGTGAAGAAGAGATTGGAAAAGTCTATGGATCATCCTAGCCTATAATTTGTAGGGAAAATTAGGTCAAGTACGGCCAAAAAGTAATAAAATTGAATAATACGCTTAATTAATATTTTTCTCATTAATCCTTTAAATTAACCGTAATTAATACGCTAAAAACGCCCAAATTTGATGAAAAGAAGTCATGCTGAAATAACAAAACACTAACCCCTGAAGGAGGTCGTTCCATAAAAAATTACCACCGATTAACAGCACCTCCACCATTACGGACTCGAAGCATGGGTGAAGAAAGCACCAGCACCATTAGAGACTCAAATTATGGGCGAAGAAAAAGCCAACTTCATTCCGATTTTGTTTAGGGTTTTTTCGCTCTTTGTATGTGTGTTGTGTGTCGTATGAGTTTCCATAGTATATCCGAACCTTGATGTGTATATATATAGCTTTGGCAGTAATTTTTATGGTTTTGGAGTTTCATGTCATGCTGCTATATTAATTCCATTTTTTCATCCTTATTTAAAATCTTGTTATGTTGTCATTGCTGGATTTCATGGATCAATTTTGCTGCCAATTTGACTGCAATCCATTTATACACCCCTTGTGCCGAAATTCCATATCTAATTGATGAGATGAACAAAATGCTAGTGTCATGCTTCAGTTTGTGGAGTTTCTTAGAATGCTTCTTGTGCCCTAGTTGCAAGTTAGTTCTATATGTGCATTTTTTCTTTTTGTATTTTAAACTGAATTCTGATATTGAAAAGATGAGAATTTGAAAGGTATTTTGCTTCTATTTTATTGGTTATGGTCTTTGGAGTGGCTGCACATTGAGTGTTTTCCCAGTTTGATTCAGTTGGCAGAACTATTGTCCCAAAAGGAAGATAACATAAGAAACAGAATTACCAAATTACTTATCTCACCTTAGGATTTTTATTTCAGTGCTTTGATTTTCCATTTCATCTCCTTATCTGCTCTTTTTCTGCAATTTTTCTTTCTTATTTTCTGAAACATTCAAAGTTCGGTAATCTCTGCAGAAAAAAACGTAAATTTATGTCTTAGTTGACATCGATATTCCTTTTTGTTAAATCATTTTATTCAAATGAGTTAATATAAATACTTACAATATATGAAAGGCAGAGCTCATGAACTCCCCCTCGTCAATTAACATTTTTGAGTTTATGTCAGTTTTTTTTTTTATTTCTATCATTTTTTTTAAAGTTTAGGTCTTTTTCTATGTCACCTTTTTTTTTAAGTGTATGTGACTTTTTAAAAGTTGATGTCACTTTTGTAAGTGCACGCTATCAAAATTTGAAGATGGGTACAAAACTTTCTGAAAAGACTATTACATTCACGGATGGATGAGAAAGAGAGGGGGGGGGGGGAG